ACATCCTGGTGCATTCCAACCCCATCAGCTCTGATTACATCTCAGAAATAAGGGCTTTAACAATGCTGCAGACCAGTGAATAGCTGCATAGAAAATGGAATATCTAAAATTACTTCAATGTTATACTTGAGGTTGTATCATATCTGAGAGTCAGTTTCTCTAAAAATCCAATTCCATGATAGCCTATGGAGAGATTAGGAATAGGTTTTTTTTTTAATTATGAAATTTGCATGATTTAGTAATTACTAATGTAGTGAATAGGCCTATAACTTATAAAGACAAAGCAAGAAGGAAGACAAAGCCAGAAGATCTAAAATTCATTAAATTATGCTTCAGGATTTCTTCCTTATTTTCAGTACTTTGTTATATCTTCTTTCTCTCCTGAGTGTTCATGTTGTCTTATTTGCCTTAAAGAATTTTATTTCATAAATGCCTTGATCTGGGTTCTTGCTCTGAGTAGTCTTAGATGACTTACGCAAGTCTGTAAACCTGCTTTGTTTGGCAGTAAGGCTGTAAGATTCAGATGAGCAAATGCAATATAAATGCATCTTGGAAACAAAGCAGAATATTACAAATGTAATTTGTATTTCTTATTGCTTGCATTATGCTTCTGCTTTACATGTGTCATCTAATTTCCCAATAACCTTCTAAGGTGGCTACTGTCATTATCTCTTTTTACTGTTGAGAAAGATGAGGCATGAAGAGGTAATTAATATGCCCAAAGCCACATGGTTAATTTGTAGATGGTTTTTCTGATTTGACTGGCAGGATTATTATCCAGTATCCTGAAATGTCCGTTGAAATGTATTTAATAATTCAATATTTCTTTTTTCTCAAGTTTTCCAATTGTTTGAGACTCATCTACCACTCGCATGTCTAGAAAATGTGTAGAAAATAGTTTTCTGATGAAAAATATACTTTTCATTTAAGTGTATACACTTCATTTAGTAAGCTTATTTGGGAACTTACTGTACATTAGAAATATACTTTGCCCTGGAAATGTAGAAATAAAAGTGTTTTTAGAAATCCATGTTAAAAGATGTCAGCAGGTTTTTCTCTCCACCATGTCTCCCAGATCTCAGTGTCTAGACAATGAACTATACTGGATTTTGAGTGACCTTTTAGAATGATTTTGGAATTGGCTATAGTAGCCTTTTCTAGAGGTGGAGTGAGAGAGGGTGAATAACGGTTAAGGCTTCCTGCTTCTGAGGCCTGCATGGAGGGAGAAATGAATTTCTTGATTTTGAGCAACTTCAACTTTTCAGGGCTTTGCTTAACTTTTAGTATTTTTCTTAAAATAAAGGCATCCTTTCCTCTAGTCTTGGCTTTTCAACCCAGCCACCACAAACCTTTATATAATGTGAAAGATAAAAAAATCTTCCTGATTTCAGTTTTTGTTTTTGCTGTTCAGCACGGTTGGTTTATATCCACCATTGCATCGGTTTTGGGTGGTACTTAAGAACTGGCATCTGCTCAGTTCAAGATTTTAAAAGGATTTTGTAAATGACCTGACAGCTCCTTTGAGCTTAAATCTTGTTATAAAATTTGATCAGTTTGCCACTTTTCTTCCTTCCTTTGTTTTGTTTCTTAAAGCCTTGTGTGTGTGTGTGTGTGTGTGTGTGTGTGTGTGCACGCGCGCTTCATTTTATTGATAGTCATTCTTTCCTATTTCTGTCTCGTCCTTTCATCTTTTAATGTATAAATCATAGGTGCCACATAAATAAATGTAAAAGTTAATGTATAATAAAAATTAGTTTTTTCAGGAATGGAAAAGATGAAAAATAAATTGAGGGATTGACATTATTATAATTCTCAGCCTCCTCATCCATAACTTGGTATATCTTTGTTTAATCAAGTCTTTAAAAATATTATGAAAATTTTTAAATAGACACAAAAGTAGAATAGTATAGTCAACTTCTATCTCCCATTACCCTGGCTTAGCAGTTATTAATATATTACCAATCTTGTTTCATTTATCTCTTCTGCCCTTCTCCCCATGCTCTGATATACTTTATATTGCATACATTCTTCATTTAGTGATACCATCTTTGTTTATTCATATTTCATTAATTCCATCAGTATTTTGACTTGAGTTAAAGGTTTCTTTTTTTTTTTTAGAGTTTAATCAGATTTTAAAAATATGTCTAGTTTAGTGGCATCCTGAAGTATTATTCAAGTGTCCGATGATTTTTCTTGGTCCTAGAACATCCTGTTTTATTTTGTGAGCATTGATTAATTTTATTTATTGCTTTTATCTTGTGGGTATTAAACAACACAAAATGTTTCTCTATTTGTACCAGCATATTTTTCTGACATCTTGTAAATATTTTCTTTTTAATTGTATCATGTTGGTATTTTAAAATGAGTTTCTAGCATATGTTATTGTTTGTTCTTAATATTTTACACTAACCATAGCTCTGTGAGCTGTTTTAATTCTCTGTCAGGCTTATTTGATTTTTATTCCTTCAAATTTCAAATGTTATCTTCCTAACTGTAATAGTTTCCCTGAGCTGCTGTAGCAAATTGCTACCAACTTGGTAGCTTAAAACAACAGAAATTAATTTTCTCACAATTCTCAAGGTCAAATGTTCAAGATCAAGCCCTTGTTCCCTTGGAGGTTCTGTGAGAGTGCTGATTCCATGCCTCTCTTCCAGCTTTTGGTGGGTGCTGTCAGTCCTTGGCTATTTTCTGATTGCAGCTGCATAATCCAGTCTGTTTGATCTTTACACTGCCTTCCCTCTTTCTCCCTCTTCTTTCTCTTGTAAAAAGATCTACTAGGTTTGGGGCCTATCTTAAATCCAAGATAATCTTCCTTAGGTCACTTTCAGATACCAAGGATTAGGATTTGGAAATACCTTTTTAGGGAACATGGTTTAATCTATTACACTTTCCAAGCAACAAACTTCTCTGAGTTCCCATTTTCTCATTTGTAGATTAAATCCAAGAACTTCATAGCCTTCTGGTCAGAGTATTTGTGATGTTTTCCAGGACGTGGAAGAACAAAGTGAAGCTGCCCAGCATATCACCAAGATGGCTACCCAACCTTCCAGTTCTCTTTGCTTCCATATTGCTCTTCCCTGATCCATAGAGCTAACAGAAAGATTTTTCCACAATGTAAATCTGTTCACACTTCTGTGACCTCTTTAGGGCTAACCATAGGGTTTTAAATAAAGCTCTCTCTATATAACCTTTTTAAAGACTAGCTGCTGTCTTCACCCTTCTTCTTTGTGCTCTGAGCCTTCGCACGTACTTTCTACTTAGTTTAGAACATTCCTTAATCCCTCTCTGGCTGTTATTCCTACCTAAAATCTTAGCTCAGCTATTTCTTTCTCTCTAAGCCCTTCTGAGATACGCCAGCTCTTCAGCGTCTTCCACATCATCTAGACCATACTTTCAGTCATGTTATATGCCACCTGGGTTTGTTTATCCTATACTACTCATCTCTGAATTTTACAGTCCACAAGGAGAGGAAACACCTAGTCTGTCATATCACAATTGTAGCCTCAACTTCTAAGACTATTAAGCACAGTGTCTAATGTCCACTGAATGAAAAATAACTGTAAAAAGCAGAGTTCTGATTTGAAGGGCCAAGTTTTTTGTTTTGTTATTTTTTTTTTGTTTTTGTTTGTTTTTTAACAAGTTCTCACGCTTCGTTGTGATCTTCTTGTCTCAGCCTTTGGACTAGCTGGAACTACAGGCACGCACTACAATGCCTGGGATTTTAGTGAGGGCCTGGAATTGAACCTGGACCTTTTCTGTGGCTTTAGCTTGCTGAGTAGCAGCATCTATCAGTGGGCACTATTGCAGCTGGGTTGGGACCTGGGCATTTTTTAAGCTCCTGTTTAAGAAAGCATTGGGTAGAGCTGGTTTTGGCTATACCTTTTATTTACTAATTAATTTTTTTTTGAGAAGTTTTTGCTATAGGGCGCGTGCACTCGTCAGAAAGACAGAGACAGACAGACAGACAGAAAGCGAGAAATCACCTTCCAGGGGGGGATGGCCACACCACAATCCCTTATCTTCCATTCTCGTCTCGGGTGTTTTTGTTTGTTTTTTAACAAGTTCTCACGCTTCGTTGTGATCTTCTTGTCTCAGCCTTTGGACTAGCTGGAACTACAGGCACGCACTACAATGCCTGGGATTTTAGTGAGGGCCTGGAATTGAACCTGGACCTTTTCTGTGGCTTTAGCTTGCTGAGTAGCAGCATCTATCAGTGGGCACTATTGCAGCTGGGTTGGGACCTGGGCATTTTTTAAGCTCCTGTTTAAGAAAGCATTGGGTAGAGCTGGTTTTGGCTATACCTTTTATTTACTAATTAATTTTTTTTTGAGAAGTTTTTGCTATAGGGCGCGTGCACTCGTCAGAAAGACAGAGACAGACAGACAGACAGAAAGCGAGAAATCACCTTCCAGGGGGGGATGGCCACACCACAATCCCTTATCTTCCATTCTCGTCTCGGGATCTTGAGCACGCACGCACAAGTGCCCAGTGCGAATTTAAGCCACTGGCTCCTTCTTGGGATGGTTCAGAGCAACCGCAGATATTCGGATGTTCAGAAACATTCTTGAGTACTCACTAGTGGCAGATCTTTTGGTAACTGTCCATCAGGAACATGCTTTGGTAAGTTTGAAATTAGTTTTATTAGTTTAGGGGCACTCTTGTGAAAATTTAGTGGGGCAATCAAAACACTGTTCACCCTCAAATATCAAAAGCTATCTAAAAGTAAAAGAATTTTGAATGAGTTTGCAAGAATAGCATTGAAATAAAATATTACATGCGTTACTGTAATCTCTGAAAATATTCTCAAACTTTGACTGAATTGGTATTCATATGTTAAATTGTAGAGGGGGAATATGTTTCTGTTTTTTCTGTATCAAATGACTTTGGGAAGCTTGCTTTTATATTTCCTGTTAGCTGAGAATTTATTTTTAAATACTGTTTTTGTGTTTTTTTAATAGATTTTTTTTCACATATACTAATTAGCTATTCTTCTCTTATAGTTATGCCCCATGGTGTCCATCCTGCCAGCAGACTGATTCAGAATGGGAAGCTTTTGCAAAGAATGGCGAAACACTTCAGATCAGTGTGGGGAAAGTAGATGTCATTCAAGAGCCGGGTACTGTAAATACTGAATATTAAATGTAAATGTTCAACAGTATTTATTTAGAGTTGTTTTCAAACCAAGAAAAGTCAAAACTAGGATATTTATTACCCATGATTGACCACCTTTTAGCCACACATTGCACTTGTGCATATCTTGATCTTTACATGTGTTTACACATATTTATGTGTATATATGCTTATATTAATATTTTTAGTATTTTTTACTGAGCCATTTTAACATCATCACACTTTACCCTTTAATTCTCTAGCATGTTAGAATTTTCCTAATTATTTCTCACGTGTCTTTTTTTTTCTTTCTTTCTTTTTTTGAGAGTTTTTTTTGCTGTAGGTCACGTACACTCGCTAGATAGACAGAGAGAAACAATGAGACAGAAAGTGAGAAATCACCCCCCGGGGGGATGGCCACACCGCAGTCCCTTCTCCTCCATTCTCCTCTTGGAGTCTTGGGCACGTATGCACACGTGCCCGGCATGAATTTAAGCCACTGTGTCTAGGACTCGAACCGTGGTCGACTACATGGGAGTCCAGTGATGTAGCCATTACGCTATCAGCTGGTCCCCTGATGTGTCTTTTTATAGTTTTTTTTTTTATTCTAGTTCCAATCATAGTTCACAAATTGCATTTTAGCAGTTTTGTCTTATTAGCTTCTCTCCATCTAGAATTAGCCCCCCCCTTTTTTTTTCCATACCATTAGTATTCTAAAAAGAGCAGGCCAGGATTTTCCTAGGTGTTTCCTTATGGGGTTGTTTAACTTATTCTAATATTTTCTGCATTGTTTGTAATCTGGAAATTTCATCCAGAGGCTAGACTCATATTTATGGCACAAGTACATTGTAAGAGATGCTCTGACTTTCTGTTACATCTCATCAGAAGGCATATACTGTCATTGTTTGTGATAAGTTTGTGTACTTCATTGAGGTGGTGACACTAAATATTTCAATGAAAAAAAGCCCACCCTACTTTATGATTTGCAAGTAATCTGTGGGATGGTATTTTGGGGTTTAAGATCCATAATGATCTTACATGAATCAGCTATATCATTGTGGAGTCCAGAATGGTAAATTTTTCTTTTCTTTTTTTTTTGTTGTTGTTTGGAGAGGTTTTTGCTATAGGGCACGTGCGCTCGCCAGACAGACAGACAGACAGAGAGATAGAAAGCGAGAAATCACCTCCCAGGAGGGATGGACACGCCGCAATACCTTCTCCTCCATTCTCCTCTCAGGATCTTGGGCACGCACGCACACGTGCCTGGCGTGAGTTTAAGCCACTGGGTCCGGGACTCGACCACGGTCGACTATGTGGGCATCCAGCGACATAGCCATTACGCTAACTGCTGGTCCCCAGAATGGTGAATTTTTAAGTATGTCATTCCATCTGCACTTACTAATTGTGACATAATTTTTATTTATTTATTTGATATATTTTGCTATAGGGTGTGTGTCTGGTCACTGGAGCGGTGGGGAATAAGTGAGAATCACCCCCTAGAATGGATGGCTATTCCACAGGACCTTCTCCTTCATTCTCCTCTTTGGATTTTGGGTATACATGCACATGTGCCCAGCATATTTTTCAAGCTGCCGGGTCCGGGACCCGAAACTTGCAGTTGGTCATGTGGGATCAAGCTACCTTTCTACCACATCTGGCCTCAAAATTTTTTTGAGAAAAAGTGAATTGCTTTTTCTCCAAAGAGTGAGGACAGAGAAGAGACCATATTAAATTCTGTAAAGATAGACATAATAAATTTGTATTTGTAGTTTAAAAATAACTTGGGACATTATATATAAATTGAGAAGAAAAGTTAGGCTTTATTGATAAAAATCTCTAAAATTTATAATTTTCAAATTTTATCAGTCACCTTTCTATCAATATTCAGTTACTACATACTTCATCTTTTTACAAGGAAGAAAACAAGGTAGTTAAGGAAGTGTAGCTATTCACCTTTCTGTGAGTTCAAAGCACAATGTAATGAAGTTCCAATTACTTGGAACAAAATGGATAGCTATGTGTTAGAAAACTGTGGAGAGATTTTTCTATTAAAAGCCTCCATCTTTGTAAGCATTTGAAACACAGGCACTTTGCCCAACTTCTATTTGGAGATGAACAATTATAGTTATTTGTTCATGGTTTTGGCTGTTAAAATGAGTTACTTTGTTTGGAGATTAAATCATTGCAATTACATTTTTGCTGAAAACTTGTTTTCATCTTTTAGTAGTGTGAGTCCAATGAAAGCAGGTGTAAGACTGGTTAACTAGTGGGCACAGACACATTTTATGATGGATTTCTTAAAAATGCAGCTGGCTTATTACTTGTAGTCATTCAGTATACCTGCTATGAATTTACAGCATGATTTTAATTAAGATTGTGAAGGAAAAAAAAGAGTTAAACAGCCTTGTGATAGATTCAGAAATCTCATGTTTAATCGAATATAATCTTTTCATCTAAAAATGTAGACTTAGAGTTTTTTTCCATTGTCCACAGATTTACATTTTTTTGGTTAATGAATAAATTGATTATAAAGAAATATTTTTAAAGCATTCTGTATCAACCCAGTTTTATGTATGTATACATTATATATACTTGAAAGACTTATCGAAGAGGAAGGGGAAAAAAGTCTTTTGTCTCATATCCTATAGGAATAGTAGAGAAACAAAGTCTAATACTTTATGCATTCAAACAATTTTTTAAAGGCAGATGCTTTAGAATTCCTTTCAATAATAAAGCTTAAAAGCTGCAACTCATAAGCAAAATTTAGGAGACAAAATTTTGCATGCATGACTCAGTGGTCTTGAGAATATTTTACTTCAAATTATTCTGTTTTAAGTTTATAATTTTACTTTGAATGACAAACCTACAGCTTTTAATTAATCTTTGAATAACGATTAGAAGTAATATGTTTATTCAACAAATATTTGATTTTCTACCGTGCACAGGTAGAAACCGTATCACTGGTCTCGATATAGAGATAAATAAGAAAGACAGAGGCCTACCTCCTCAGTGAGCTTACTTACCTTCTACTGAATAAGATATACAAGAGGAGATACAAGGACACATGAAGGAGATATGAGGTCTGGTAGAGTAATACAGATAAAAGAGGATGGACAGGTCTCTAGGAACCAGAACATGTAGGATCTTATTGGCCATAGCAAGGAGTTTAGAAATAAAAATGGGTAAAGTTAAATTCTTTTAAGTTAAAAAAATCCTGTAAATTGTGTGCAATGATTTTTAATAATGTGATTATGAAAGCCAGCTCAAGAATGCATTCTCTTGGAACTTAGGTTAGGTGCTTGGGTTACTCTGTGTTCAACTTTTAACTTTTTAAAATTTATTCTCTTTGTAGGTCTAAGTGGCCGCTTCTTTGTCACCACTCTCCCCGCATTTTTTCAGTAAGTTTAAATGATATTCTGACCTTGCAATGATTAGAAATCAATAAGTGTATACCAGGAATTCAAAGTTGTTCTTCATGACCACAATTTATTTAGCTTTACGTTTGAGGGAGAGAAAGACAGGTCTGCTCTGAATGATAGGTGTGTGAAGTGCTATAGGGAAGGAGAAGCTAATTTTAAGCAGGGGGTAGTGGAGAGGAGGGATCAGAAAAGATTTTTTCTAATGATATAAAAAGTGGGATAATTCTTAATAGATCAGTAGGAATGGATTGAGCTGACAAGGTGGAGAAGTTTTTTCCAGATAAAAGAGGTAGGATGTAAAAGCCCAGGAAAAAAAGCGGTCACTTCTAAGAACTATAGCTAGTTCTGTATACCTGGCCTATGAGTTGCAGTTGTGTCAGCTGTGTGATGAGGCTAGAGAGACTCAGGTAGTGACAGGGGAAAGAAAAAAGTGAGATACTTAGGAGGTGGAGTTATTGTGACTTAGGTGATTAGCCATGGGAAGAAAGAGTTCATGATAACTCCCAATAGGTCATAACCAGTAAATATTGTTACTTTCAAAATAGGACCCATTACAATAAAATGGGGTTTGAGAGCTAGGCTAAAATCGAGAAGATCGTGAATGCCTATTCTGATTCCCAATGGAGAAGTTCAGGTGACAGTTTGATGTCAGGCTCTATAGCTTAGAAAAAAGAGCTAGACTGAAGATACTTACTGGGAATTACTCAGCACTGACACAGATAGCAATTAAAATATATCTAGGGAACACACATACAGTGAGAAGAGAAGCAGGTCAAGGACAGAGCGTGGGTTGACCAATTAGGTCATCTGCAAAGTGAGTGAAGGAAACTGAGAAAGGTGTTGTCAGCATTGTAAGAAATCCAGAGAATTCCTAATGAAGCCAATTGCAGGGAGGAAGACAGGGTATTTAGTAGTGGACATGTCAATGACAGGTAAAGGAGAAGCGGTAGGAAAGTGCCCCATGGATATGACTCTTATGAGGCATTGGAAATCCCTAGTATGAGCACTTGCGATGGAGACATGGGAGCAGAACCCCAGTGGCACTGAGTAGTGAAGGAGTAATAGAAATCAGCAAGTTATACTCTTCCTGGGAAGGTTGATTGTGGCAAGAAGGTGGGAGGAACAGAAAGGCAAAAGAGATGGAAGACTCAGCGGTTTTTGTTGATTATTAAGAGGGGCTTGGATGATGTGAATTTGGAAATTAGGATACAATTTTAAAACTTGAAACAATGGCTATTTTGTAGTCATAAGAGAAAAATATAAATAATTGATTAGCAAAAATTATAAAAAGTAACTTGACAGATTAAGCACTGCCTACAACTTTCCTTACAGTCACAAGTTGTGCAGTGATAAAATAGAATGTTGATACCTTTGGTTTGGGAATTTCTCCTTTGTAATAGATTTAAAAGTATATATTCTTTGTGATTTATATCTAAATGTAATATTTTTCTTCATTGGAGTCAATTTAAAATTCAAGTTGTGTCCTTATATATGAGCAGTATCATTTTTATTTTTATTATTTATAGCATCTGTTATGTTAATGAATTTGTTTTTTGACTTTATCATTTATAGTGCAAAGGATGGGATCTTCCGCCGCTACCGTGGCCCAGGAATCTTTGAAGACTTGCAGAATTATATCTTGGAGAAGAAATGGCAATCAGTTGAGCCGTTGACTGGCTGGAAATCTCCAGCTTCTCTAACGTAAGTTGTATTTTAATAATAAGGTGTTCTTAATAAAACAAAAAGTATTAAGATAATGGCTGGCCAGCCTTGAAAATCTATATTTTTCTTTATTATCGCTTCTGAGTACCCAGACCACACACACCCCACACATGCCTATGCTTTGGGCTTTTGTTCCTGGTGGTATTTCTGATTTTGTGACCTACATTAGTTTAAGCTGGCTTTTAGTATACTCAGAATTAAATAGACAAATACAAGTGAATAATAGAAAGCTCCTTCTCCAATTCTATACTAAGCTATGCCAGCTATTTTCTGTTGACAATATAGATGCTGAACACCATTACCATTGTTTTTTCATGTTAAGTTATTACTAAGATGGAGGAGTAACTCTTGACTTAGCTCATAAAGGAATTGTTCCTTGTACCTTATGTGGAAGATAAAGGCTATGGCAACTTTGACCTCCTAGTAGATTGCTGCTGTGGGTAACTTTTGGCCATTGTGATGAACTGCTTAATATGTGGTGAAGTAGATAAGGCAAAACCACAATAACTTTGCCCAAAGATCTTTTTTTTTTTTTTTCCTATAGGGCGTGTGCGCCCACCAGACAGAGAGA